TTTGATGCAGCAAAAGCCACGACACTTAAAAATAGGCATATCTGTAATCCCAGCACTTTGGGAGGCCGAGGTGGGTGGATCACGAGGTCAAGAGATTGAGACCATCCTGGTCAACATGGTGAAACCCCATCTCTACTAAAAATACAAAAAATTAGCTGGGCATGGTGGCTCGTGCCTGTAATCCCAGCTACTCGGGAGGCTGAGGCAGGAGAATTGCCTGAACCCAGGAGGTGGAGGTTGCGGTGAGCCGAGATCGCGCCATTGCAGTCCAGCCTGGGTAACAAGAGCGAAACTCCGTCTCAAAAAAAAAAAAAAAATAGGACTATCACTAATTTTTCAGATGGTATCTATGTTTCTGAAAAAGAAGAGATCAGCAGGCTTATAAATAATATCTAAGAATTCTCCAGCTACTGAAGCAAGAAGATTCTAAAGGACACATGCAAAACCAACTTGTGACTTTTTTTAATTACAAAAAAATCGACCCCATCTATTTTGAAATGAAGTGCATTCTGATAGGGAATCAGAAAATGCACTTTAAAAAAGACAGCATTTACAATAGCCACAAAAACTGGTATTTAGGAAGAAAAGATGTGTAAGACCTATGTGAAGAAACTTTACATATCTTTTAAAGGGCTAGGCGCAGTGGCTCATGCCTGTAATCTCAGCACTTTGGGAGACTGAGGTGTGCAGATCCAGCCTGGCCAACATGGTGAAACCCAGCCTCTACTAAAAATACAAATATTAGCCGGGCATGGTGCTGTGCACCTGTAATCCTAGATACTCAGGAGGCTGAGGCAGGAGACTTGCATGAACCCGGGAGGTGGAGGTTGCAGTAAGCCAAGATGGTACCACTGCACTCCAGCCTGGCGACAGAGGAAGACTTCGTGTTTAAAAAAAAAAAAAAAAACAAGATTTAAAGGGAGAGATCTACACTTAAGATTTAAAGGGAGAGATCTACTGTTACTGTGTTACTGTCGTGGATAAGAAGGCATGAATTTGTAAACAAATAAATTCTTTCCAGATTGAGCTATAGAGTCAATGTATTTTTTGGAATTTGACAACCTGATTCTAACATTTAAGTGGGAAAAAAAGGGTCAAGAATAGTCAAGATACTATCGAAGGAGATTAAGGAAGGGGTTTTGCTGTACTCAATATCAGAGCTGATTTTTGAATTTATAGACAGTGATGACTCAGAGACAGTAAAATTGACTATTGGAACAGAATAGAGGCCACAGAAAGAGACCCACAAACACGTATAGAATTTTAATACATGGCAGAATTGGCATGGAGCTCAGTGGAGAAGAGAGAAGGACCGTTCAGAATGAAGGAGAAACATATATGGATCAACACTACACACCACGCACTAAAATCAACCCTAGGTAGACTGAGTACTTAGACATCAAAAGAAAAGCACACTCTCTATGTCCATCAGTTCCATTTTTTTTAAACTTTTAGATCCCACAGATGCGTGAAAACTTGCAATGTTTTTCTTTCTGTGCCTGGCTTATTTCACTTAACATAATGATCACCACTTCTACCCATGTTGTTGCAAATGACTGGATCTCATTCCTTTTTTTTTTTTTTTTTTTTTTTTTTTTTGAGATGGAGTTTCACTCTTGTTACCCAGGTTGGAGTGCAATGGCGCGATCTCAGCTCACCACAACCTCCACCTCCTGGGTTCAGGTAATTCTCCTGCCTCAGCCTCCTGAGTAGCTGGGACTACAGGCACGCGCCACCATGCCCAGCTAATCTTTTTGTATTTTTAGTAGAGACAGGATTTCACCATGTTGACCAGGATGGTCTCGATCTCTTGACATTGTGATCCACCCACCTCGACCTCCCAAAGTGCTGGGATTACAGGCTTGAGGCATCGCGCCCAGCCAATCTCATTCCTTTTTATGGCTGAATAGTACTCCATGGTGTATAGGCACCACATTTTCTTTATCCATTCATCTATTGATGGACACTGAGGTTGCTTCTGGATTGTTTGCAACTCAACGGATCAATGCTTGAGGGGCTGGGTACCCCATTCTTCATCATGTGTTTATTTCACACTGCATGCCTGTATTAAGACAGCTCATGTACCCCATAAGTATATACACCTAATATGTACCTGCAACATTAAAAATTTTTAAAAATTAAAAAGAAAAGCATAAAACTTTTAATAGAAACTATATTTGAATATCTTTCTAATCTTAGGATGGGAGAAATTTTTTTTTTAATGAGACCCAAAAGGTACTCAATAGAAAAGAAAGGAATTGTGAATATGATTATATTACAACTAAGAACTTGTGTTCATCGAAGATCACTTTAAGAAATGAAGACAAGGCCAGGCATGGTGGTTCACACCTATAATGTCAGAACTTTGGCAGGCCGAGGTAGGAGAATCACCTGAGATCAGGAGTTTGAGGCCAGCCTGGCAAACATGGTGAAACCCCGTCTCTACTAAAAACACAAAAATTAGCTGGGCGTGGTGGTGGGTGCCTGTAATCCCAGTGACTTGGGAGACTGAGGCAGGAGAATCACTTGAACCTGGGAGGTGGAGGTTGCAGTGGCCTGAGATCGCCCCACTGCACTCCAGCCTGGATGACAGAGTGAGACTTTGTCTAAAAAAAAAAAAAAGAAGTGAAGACAAGCTCCACATTGGGAGAAGATATTTATAACACACATAATGATAAAAATAGTGTAAAAATGTATAAAGCCCTCCAACAAATTCAATAAGCAAAAGTCAAACACCCAATAGGAATCCAGGTGTGACCAGGCATTTGACAGAGCATGTGCACTTATGCCAATGAAAACAGAGAGAGAGATTTCATCTTCATTGCTAACCAAGGAAATGCAAATCAATGCCATAGGGAGATATTTAACTCACCCCCAAAACTGAGAAAACTGAGAAGAGCAAGTGCTGGAGAGACTGCAGATCAACAAGATCTCCCAGGCATAGAGGAGAGCATAAATAAATGGACACAATGGCTTTGGAAAGCCATTTTTTATGACCTTGTAAAGATTCCCATTCACATGCCCTGTGACTCGGCAGCTCAATCTTTAGGTAGTGCTAAAGAAAAGCTCTTGCGTGTTGATACAATGAGACAGGATTAAGAATGTTCAGAACGGCTCAAATGGAAACAACTCAAATGTGCATCATCAGTGTGTGCTTAGGTAATAGGTACACTCATCAAATAAAATATTATAAGTGGTCACACCTGTAATCCCAGCACTTTAGGAGGACAAGGCAGGTGGATCATTTCAGGTCAGGAGTTTGAGAGCAGCCTGGTCAACGTGGAGAAACCCCATCTCTACCAAAAATACACAAATGAGCCTTGCACGGTGGTACAAGCCTTAATCCCAGCTACTCAGGAGATTGGGGCAGAATTGCTCGAACCCAGGAGGCAGAGGTTGCAATGAGCTGAGATTGCACCACTGCACTCCAGCCTGGGCGATGGAGCCAGACTCCATCTCAAAAATTATATATATATTATAAGCAGAAAAAGTCAGTACAACGGCAACTTCGATTGGCTGAATCATAATACAACACTGAGTCTACAAGGTAAGTCCAATAAGTGTGCAGGGAACACGATACCCTCCGTGGATTCATAAGCAATTAAAACTAAATAGTGCTATATGTTAAGTCTACATATATGTGACAACACCAGGAAGACAAGGGTCACAACAGCAGTTACTGGGAATGGATCAGGGAGGAGCACAGGTGGATGTAAGTTGGCATCAACGTGTTAGGTCTTAGGTTGGATGGTGGGTTCGCATTTATTTGTCATGTTATGAACAAAAATGAAGAAGTACAAGTAAATGATGCTTGTTCTAATGATAACAGCTTGGTCGTGAACTAAGAATTTTGGATAATTCCATTTGGGACAACGGTAGACCAACTTTATAAAAGAGGAGAGGAGACATGCTGGACAGAAACAGCGTGAGAAAAAACTGCTGGGGCTGAAGAAGCCCCAGCCCCTGTCCTTCAAGAATTCCACAGATATGATGAGGGGGTGGAGACAGGTAAAGGCAGTGGTGATGTGTGATGGGGACAGGGATTCGTGTAGGGCTGTAAACACGGAAGAGAAGGGGCAGATGTCGATGGGAATGGAAATGAGTAGGTTTTCCCAGAGTGGCAGATACTGAGATTTCAGCTGGAAGGATTGGATGAGGCAGCCTGGTGGAAATGGGGAAGAGTGGAAGAAACTGTACTTGCAAGGGCTCAAAGTTGTAAGACAGCAAGTCTGTACGGAGACAGGAGGCCAGCGTGGCCAGGCCGAAGGGCAGAATCAGAGATCAGGAAACAGGCTGAAGTGGCCCCCGTGGGACAAGGAACATGGCCCTGACTCTCTAAGCAATGGGAACAAACAACATTGAGGCTCCAGGCTGGCTGAGAAGTAATAGTTTTGGGGAGATGGTTCTGGCAGCCTGAAGTTTAGAATGAGAGACGGAGGCAGGGAGGAGGCGAGGCAGGTTCTGAGGTCAGTAGAGGTGGGGTGGGAAGATGAGCAGAGGACAAGTTAGTTTTACTTTTAGCAACAAAGTTGGTGGTCAGGCATGGTAATTCATGCCTGTAATCCCAGCACTTTGGGAGGCTGAGGCAGGTGGATCACCTGAGGTCAGGAGTTCAAGACCTGCCTGACTAACATGGCAAAACCCCATCTCTACTAAAAATACAAAATTAGTCAGGCATGGTGGTGCACACCTGTAATTCCAGCTACTTGGGAGGCTGAGGCAGAAGAATCTCCTGAACCTGGGAGGTGGAGGTTGTAGTGAGCCAAGATCGTACCACTGTACTCCAGCCTGGGTAACAAGAGTGAAACACCATTTCGAAAAAAATGAAAGAAGCTTTGACGGGACATAATGATTTCCTGGCCCCAGAATATGAAAGGGGAGAACAAGAGAGAAGAGAACTCCCAGGTGATGAGGGAGGAGTGGGTCTGGTGGGATGCTGAGCAGCTCAGCCCAGACTTTCTGAGTGGACATGAACATGAGAGGATCCCCAAACCACTCACCCAGGCAACAGTACCCATAATGGGGTCTTCGTCACTTATTCTCTCTGATCTCCCAGCTGCGTGCTTCCTGCGGGCTTTCACTCTAAGGAAAGAAACCAACACAGTGCAGCTGGGACCACTGAGGCACGGGTTAGCAGGCTGCCCCATCCCCCATTAAGATGGTGAAAATGACAATGGAAAAGTGTCTGTTCATATCCTTCACCCACTTTTTGATGGAGTTGTTTGTTTTTTTCTTGTAAATTTGTGTAAGTTCTTTGCAGATTCTGGATATTAGCCCTTTGTCAGATGAGTAGATCACAAAACTTTTTCCCCATTCCATTGGTTGCCAGTTCACTCTAATGATAGTTTCTTTTGCTTTGCAGAAGCTCTTAAGTTTAATTACATCCCATTTATAACATTAGGAGAAATACCTAATGTAGATGATGGGGGTAGGGACGCAGCAAACCACCATGGCATGTGTATACCTATGTAACAATCCTGCACTATCTGCACATGTACCCCAGAACTTAAAGCATAATAAGAAAGAAAGAAAGAAAGAAAGAAAGAAAGAAAGAAAGAAAGAAAGGAAGGAAGGAAGGAAGGAAGGAAGGAAGGAAGGAAGGAAGGAAGGAAGGAAGGAAGGAAGGAAGGAAGGAAGGATAACAGAGGCATCCAGGTCTTGGAACTGAACTTGGAGACATTCTTCACGTGGGAGTGAGGGTTCCATCCTCTTAGATGCCCAGGGATTTGGTCAGGGTGGCCATGGACTGAATTTCCATCATAAATACCCCCCCTTACACACGAAAACATATGCAGGAATGGCCATAGCAGTGTTCTGATTGTAGCCGAGAAGAAAGGCAACCCAAATGCCCATCAGTGGCTGAATGGACAAATCAAATGTATTCCATTTATACAATGGAATATTATTTGGAAACAAAAAGGAATAAAGTAGCAATACGTGCTACAACATGGGTGAACCTTGAAAACACCACGCTGAGTGAAAGAAGCCAGCCACAAAAGACCCCCTATCGTATGATTCCATTCACATGAAATACAACTGCAACTTCAGGACAGCCAAATCCACAGAGACCGAGAATAGGTTAGGGCTGGGGGAACGACAGCTAAGGGGTGCAAGGTTTCTTTATATCTTTGCATTTCACTTTAGGCTAATGAAAAAGTTCTAAAATTGATTTTGGTGACAGATGCACAACTCTGTCAGTATACCTAAAGCCATTGACTCGTACACTAAGTGTATGAATTGTACAAAACGTGTGTCTCAATAAAGCTACTGGAAAGAAAGAAAGAGAAAAAGAAAGAAAGAAAAGGGAAGAAGGGAAGAAAGAAATGAAGGAAGGAAGGAAGGAGGGAAGAAAGAAAGAAAAGGAAGGAAGGAAGGAAGGAAGGAAGGAAGGAAGGAAGGAAGGAAGGAAGGAGAAAGAAAGAAAAAGAAAGAAAGAAAGAAAGAAAGAAAGAAAGAAAGAAAGAAAGAAAGAAAGAGAAAGAAAAGGGACTAACGGAAGAAAGAAATGAAGGAAGGAGGGAAGAAAAGAAAAGGAAGGAAGGAAGGAGAAAGAAAGAAAGAAGGAAGGAAAGAAAGAAAAGGGAAGAAGGGAAGAAAGAAATGAAGGAAGGAAGGAAGGAGGGAAGAAAGAAAGAAAAGAAGGAAGGAAGGAAGGAAGGAAGGAAGGAAGGAAGGAAGGAAGGAAGGAAGGAAGGAAGGAAGGAAGGAAAGAAAGAAAACAAACCTCTCTGGATCTACTCAGTTCTGCTTTCTGTTTTGTTTTGTTTTTCTTTCAAGACAGGGTCTCTTGCTCTGTGGCCCAGGCTGGAGTGCAGCGGCACATTTCTAGCTCACTATAGCCTCAACCTCTAGGATCGAGCGATCCTCCTGCCTCAGCCTCCAGAGCATCTGGGACTATAAGCACACATCACCACCTATGGTCTCAGCTCTGCGTTTCTGAGATTCGGTCTCTCCTACTCCCTACCAACACCACCCTGTACCTTACCTGGGATCCAGACTTACATTAAAAAGAAGAGGAGGCACAGACAGAGAGAGAACAGGGCCATGACACCAGCACCTCCAAGGGCTGCAGGAACCACCTGTGCCCCAAGGTTCGATCTCCCTGCAGAAAAGAGGGTCACGCAATAACTCGCTCCTTGGACTCAGACTCTTGTCCTCCCGCCTTCTGGGCAGGCCCCTACTCAGCCAGGAGATGAAGAACCCTGTCCTCCCAGCACCAGTTCAGCGTCTCTCTCCCACTTCCATCACTCTGGGACCCATGCCTCTCCCCTCAGCCCCTGCCCTCTGCAATACACCCCCTGACCTGGCAGCAGCAGGACGAAGCCACTCTGGGACCCACAGAAGTTCCAGGCCTTGCAACTGACTTTGAGGCTGGAGTCAAACCCCCCGTGGAGGATCAGGGAGCTGTTGGCCCAGGGCCTGGCCGAGCTGGAGCTGACGTTGAAGGAGGCCTGGCTGCTGTTCCCCTCCAGCGGCTCCTCCCCGAGCCACCAGTGCAGGAAAGCAGCCGGCTGGGCTCGGAAGGAACAGCTGCAGTGTAGACCCTCAGCCTCCCAGGAGCAGGAGGGACCCAGTAGCTGTGGGGAATCTGTGGGGAGGGAGGACAAGACTCAGCAGGGAGCCTCTTACTTCTCTACCACCATGCAGTTCCTGCTCCAGCTGTCCCCACACTCACAGCAAACTGAGAGATTCAGAAAAATTTCCAAGGAGCCCAGCAGGTGCTGAGCGCGGCAGGTGAAGCCTCCTTGCTCTGCAGACCCTACACAAGGAAGCTCCAAGATCCCGGTATTGGAGATGGGGGTGGCGTTTGGGGCAGGGGAGCCCTGGAACCAGCTCAGGTGTGCAGGGGGGTTGCTGTCAGCATCACAGAGCAGCCGCAGAGCCTGACCCTCCAGGACCGGAAGGAACGAGGTGTTTTGCAGGATCTCTAGGGCTTTGGGGAGAGAGAGAGGGAGAAAGAGAGATGGGGCCAGGGAGGCCAACAGTCCCTATCCTTCCCTCCTTCCCAGGATCCAGGACTTCCCTCTCCTCCCCTGGTCCATGCTGGTTCCATCCTGATTCAAAGGCTGGGTCTTTGCACACTCAGGAAATGAATCGAAAGTGTCTGAGTCTCATGTCTCCAGAGGAGGCTCAACATCTCACTGGTACATGCCTGTGGGCAGGCCCGCCCTCCCCCACCCCGTGGCATTGGGAAATACATTCTGCTAATGTAGCAGGAATTAAGAATAAGGATGCTGGAGTTTCCTGAAGGGTGAGACGAAAAGAACCACAGAGCTGGGCTGACTGGGATGAGAGGGGCATAGATTGACCCTTGGTGACTGTGGGAATAACCAGACCACAGGAGGGATGGGAGATGGGAGGGGTCTAAAGTCCGTTCACTGCTTTGAGCAGAGTGCATGAGTCTGCACCTGTGTGTGCGTGTGTGTGTGTGTATGTGCACGTGTATGTGCATGTATGTGTGTGGTGTATGTGCATGTGTGTGTGGTGTATGAGCATGTGTGTGGTGTATGAGCATATGTGTGTGTGGTGTATGTGCGTGTGTGTTTGTGGTGTATGAGCATATATGTGTGGTGTGTGAGCATTGTGCATGTGTGGTGTATGAGCATATGTGTGTGGTGTATGTGCATGTGTGTGTGTGTGGTGTATGAGCATATGTGTGTGTGGTATATGAGCATATGTGCGTGTGTGATGTATGTGCATGTGTGTGTGTGGTGTATGTGTGTGAGTGTGGTGTATGAGCATGTGTGTGTGGAGTATGAGCATATGTGCGTGTGTGGTGCATGTGCATGTGTATGTGGTGTATGTGCATGTGTGTGTGCAGTGTATGAGTATGTGTGTGTGGTGTATGTGCATGTGTGTGTGGTGTATGTGCATGTGTGTGTGGTGTATGAGCATATGTGAGTGTGTGGTGTATGTGCGTGTGTGTGGTGTATGTGCATGTGTGCGTGCAGCGTATGAGTGTGTGTGGTGTGTGTGCATGTGTGTGGTGTATGTGCATGTGTGTGCATGTCTGGTGTATGTGCATGTGTGTGGTGTATGTGTGTGCATGTATGGTGTATGAGCATGTGTGCGTGTGTGGTGTATGTGCATGTGTGTGGTGTATGTGTGTGCATGTATGGTGTATGAGCATGTGTGCGTGTGTGGTGTATGTGCATGTATGTGGTGTATGTGCATGTGTGCATGCAGTGTATGCATATGTGTGTGTGGTGTATGTGCATGTGTGTGGTGTATGTGCATGTGTGGTGTATGTGCATTTGTGTGGTGTATGTGTATGTGTGTGCATGTGTGGTGTATGTGCATGTGTGTGGTGTATGTGCATGTGTGTGCGTGTGTGGTGTATGAGCATGTGTGCGTGTGTGCCTGCACATGGGGCTCACAGAAGTTGGAAGCCAGAGAGTGATAATTCTCATTCTAGCTCTTCCCAAATCAGATTCCATTCAAGCTATGATTCTCTACCTCTGCTCAGAGACGTACCCAGAGGCAGGTCCCAGCTTCAGAGGGTCTTTCCTACCTGTGCCATTCCTGAAGATGGTGATGTTCTGTGGAGCATCTGAAATAAAAAGATATAAACTTGAGGAGTGAGATGGGCATGGGCCCCGGAGGCCCTCAGAGAGGGGCCACAGAAACCCAGCAAGTGGGGAAGGTTGTCCCGGCTCACTCCCTGCCCACCCCCCAGATCCCAAGGCTCAGAGCCACACACAAGGTTTTATAGGTTATTGTTTTGTCTCTCTCTCCCTTACATACACCCACAGACACACACACACACACCCCTCACTCCCACTGCCCTTGGGGACCCAGCTGTGTTCCCACCACCACTCACAGGAGACATTGAGCTGGACAGTTCTCTCCGTGGTCACCTCAGCTCCTTGGAGCGTCACCTGACAGGTGAGGTTGGTGCCATGGTCCTCGGGCCTCGGAGTGAAGGTGAGCACCGGGGAGCGGGTGGTCTCAGGGCGCAGGGGGCTGAGGGCACCGCCCACCCAGGAGAATGTGAGACGTCGTCTCACTTCACAGGATCCTGGAAGGCTGCAGTTCAGCCTTGCGGGGCGGCCGGACTCCAGAGGCTCCAGAAAGTGGACGTCGGGTTTCTCTGTCAGGGCTGAGGAGGAGACAGGGAGATGCCTGGGCCCCAGGGGGTGGGGACGCACGGCGTGACCCTGACATTGGCCAGGCCTCAGTCCCCGAGCTGCCTCAAGTCCTGCACCTCCTCCAACTGCCCAAGTCCCCTCCCTGTTCTCATTCAGGGTCTCCACGTCCTAGGGTCCTCTCCTAGGGCCCCTCCATACCTGTCACCTCCAAGTGCAGCTTATTCTCTTCGTAGCTATATTTTACACTTCCTCTCTCCATGCGGAAGAAATAGCTTCCCGTGTCCTCCATTCTGGCATCTTCTATCCTCAGGGAGCAGACATTCTTCCAGACGTCCCCAAGGAGGTGGAATCGGCCCTGGGTCTCTTGCTTCATAGTTCTGCGTGGATTGTTTGTGGCCACAGGAACACCATGGTATATGTTCTCCCTGTCCCGGAACCAGTAGACGTAGAGTTCATCAGGGTAATACCAGGAGTGCCGTGGGTAAGAGAAGGAGCAGGGCACAAGGACGCACAGGCCCTCCTGCACCGTCACCGACTTCTGTACTCGCAGCTCATACCCTGCCTTCTCCTGCAGGGACCCTGGGGGGACACAGAGGCTCAGCTTCGGCTCCAGCCCTCCTTCCCACCCCCGTGCCTGTTCCTCCTCCCTCAGCTCACTCACCCCCCCACAGCAGGGGCAGCAGCAGCAGGGGCAGCATGACTGCCTCCGCCAGGGCCACAGCTGGGTCCCAGGCCCCTCTGTCAGGGAAGGAAATGCACCAAATATGGCATGGGGCTGAGGAAGCCCGGACAGGAAGCCAGTGTATGAGTGAGAGCTGTGGCCGTGCCCAGAAGGGGAACTTGGGGTGCTGTTAGGGTGAGGTGGGGGCTGGGAATCCATCCTGCTCCCACCCCCACTGGATACTGCAGGTGGAGATACTGAGGTCCGCAGGAGATGGGAGGCTTGTCCAGGGGATCTGGAGGTAATCACCGCTCAAATGATGTTTCAGTGGAGAGTGAGATCTCCAAGGGAGTGAATGCAGAAAGAAGAGAGACGAGGGCTGGTCCTGGAGACAAGGTGAGAGGTCAGAACCACCCTCCAGCTGAAACCATGAAACATTCTGGATATATCTAATTTTACTTTGCTTTAAAATGTTCAAAGTGACGAGGCATGGTAGCTCATGCCTGTAATCCCAGCACTTTGGGAGGCTGAGGTGGGAGGATTGTTTGAGCCCAGGAGTCTGAGACCAGCCCAGGCAACATAGCAAGACCCCATGACTACAAAAAATAAAAACTATTAGCCAGTGTGGTGGCACACCTATATGCTCCTCAGGGCACCGAAATAGGAAGATTCCCTGAGCCCAGGAGTGTGACGTTGCTGTGAGCCATGATCATTCCAGTCTGGGCAACAGAGTGAAACCCTGGCTTTAAAAAATAAAGTGCAAAAGTGCTGGAAAAACAAATTTTTTTGGACCCAATTTTAGTGGGGAGTCAGAACATGAGAGCTGAAGCTCTCTCATGTTAAGTGGAGTTCTGGGACACAGCACAGTCCCGTTTGCGTCTTGATGGACCTTGTGGGGGGGCAATGAAACACAAACCCCTTCTAAAGCCTTGCCCTATCAAGGAGCTCCAGAAGCAAATTTGTCGCCACGAGGCTGATGAAGCTCAGTCTTCGGTGCCCTCCCTTGCAGGGTCCACCTTTCAGATCCCCAGGAGGGGCCCAAGCAATGTGTGGAAATAACCTTCATTGTTACTGCTCTTTTATAAAAGAAATTTCATGATAGTTCCCAAAAATGAACAATGATCTTAAAAAATATTAGACATTTCGATTAATGTTTGTGGGAAGTAAAAAAGTTCCACTTTTAAGTTTCCTTTCTTGTCAAAGAATAAATTAAGTGTGCTAATTACTCTTTGTGAAGCCCTATCCTATGTAGCTGTTAGACCTGCCATGCTTACAGGCACATAGTACCTTCTATGTCCTTGTACTTTAACCAAGATATCTGTGCTGGACGTGCTCACAGGCATGTCCCAGCTCTCCTTTGCCTTTACCTGTTTAGAAAAGTTTTAAGTTATTATCCAGTTGGGTTTTAGTTTAGATTGTGAAATCTGGCTCCAATCAATGGAGATCAGACACAGCGGTAAGGACAACCCCAAATGCACAAGGGATAGATTTGTCCTTTGTTGATTGTACTCTCGTGGCAAGATGGCTAGTGAGAGTCCCCTTCCTGCAGTCCAGGAAGTAAAAATTGCGTTGCTGAAAGATCCTTCGTCTCAGTGCTAATTTTTCTTTACGGCGCCGAATATCTGTTTCCAACATGTTGTGAGAGTAAAGACAGTTTCTTAAACTATCAATGACCAAAACAAATTTCAACCTATCATGCCAGAAGAAATGCCGACTTCCCTTTCTATTCTATCTATAAAAATTATATCATAAAATTATTCTCCAATATTGGCCGGGTGCAGTGGCTCACACCTATAATCCCAAGCACTTTGGGAGGCTTAGGCGGGGGATCACCTGAGATCAGGAATTCGAGACCAGCCTGGCCAGCATGGTGAAACCACCATCTCTACCAAAAATATAAAAATTAGCCAGGCATGGTGGTGGGCACCTGTAGTCCCAGCTACTCTAGAGGCTGAGGCAGAAGAATCACTTGAACCCAGAAGGAGGACGTTGCAGTGAGCTGAGATCACAGCCCTCCACTACAGCTGGGGCAACCGAGCGAGACTCTGTCTCAAAAAAAAAACTATCTCCATTATGAAGGCAATCAAATATCAGTCAAAAATATAGGGCAAAAGTATGCAAGTGTACCACACAGGTAGACTACACTATTGGTAAAAATAGTATGCCATTTTTCTGAATTGAATCATATTTTGGCACTTTAGATTTTGTGATTTAATGTATTTCTCAGTCTAAAAATCATCCTATGTGTGCCAAATTTTGTATTTTTTTCAAAAGAGTCACAAGGACTCTCCTCTTAATCAGACGTTTGAAAGCTCCTCTGCGCCCTTTTTCGGCTAGGCTTGTCCTTGGGACTGCCTCGTCCAGTTGCAAGATTCTTGATATTTGATCACATTCACTATCTAATCAAATTCCCTAGCCCTCACCCTTGATATCTGATCATGCGTGCCTGCTTTCAGCAAGAATCCTGTTAAGTCAGTTAGAAAGAATCCCAGTATCTTGGGTGTCTCCTCTTAGTAGTTTTCCATCCACTGACAGGCACACCCAGCCTCCCACACCTGCTGCACCATGCTTCTTGGCTGTAAACCCCCCTTGTCTGCTGTATTCCGAGTTGAACCTGATCTCTCTCCACTATTGCACTAGTCTTTTTTTTTTTAATTGATTTCTAAGGCAGGGCACAGTGGCTCACACCTGTAATCCCAGCACTTTGGGAGGCCGAAGCAGGCGGATCACCTGAGGTCAGGAGTTTCAGGCGAGCCTGATCACATGGAGAAACCCCGTCTCTATTAAAACTACAAAAAAAAAAAAATTAGTTGGGTTTGGTTGTGCATGCCTGCAATCCCAGCTACTTGGGAGGCTGAGGCAGGAAAATTGCTTGAACCCAGGAGGCAGAGGTTGAGGTGAGCCGAGATCGTGCCATTGCACTCGAGCCTGGGCAACAAGAGCAAAACTCTGTCTCAAAAAAAAAAATACATAAAAACAAAATTCTTTTTTTTTGAGACAGGGTCTCGCTCTGTTGCCCAGGCTGGAGTGCAGTGTCTTTGACTCACTGCCACCTTCCCTTCCCAAAAATCGATTCTCCTGTCTCAGCCTCCCAAGTAGCTGGGACTACAGGCACATGCCACCATGCCCGGCTTATTTTTGTATTTTTAGCACAGTTGGGGGTTTCACCATGTTGGCTAGGCTGGTCTCAACCTCCTGACCTCAGGTGAGCTGCCTGTCTTGCCTCCCAGAGTGCTGGGATTACAGGTGTGAGCCACTGTGCCCAGCCTGTACTAGTCTTACCTGTCTCAATCATCCTGAATAGTCCATGTTAACAGAGGTCAGAATAAGTTTTTCTTTTTTCTTTTTTTTAATTGTAAATTCTGAATTTCATTTCTCATTTGAACTGTGAAAGTGGTACCTCATACTGGCTAGCAGGATCTAAAGATAAAGACTCGATTATGTAGGAATATAACATTTTTTTATCTTTATATTAAATTCCCTCTGCTAAAATACATATATGGCTTCTGTTTTTACATCAGCCCTTAACTGATTAGATCTCAAGAAATGAATAAATGAGCATCGGCTGATTTCAAATCTCTTTATGATATAATTCATAATCAACTAGAAATTCTCTTTAGAGAATTTCCCTAACAAGATAAAGGGTATCTTCAGCAAACATCATATACCTAATGAAATAGCTTCAGCTCCTAAAATAATAAGGCAATAAAAATAAGTAAAAGGTACAGAAATTACAATGAAATTTTAAGAGAGGTCTTTATCAATGACATGATTGCATATGTAGACAAATCCAAATGTATATACAGATATATTTCAAGCCTTAATAAAATATTTGTAAGACTGCCATAGATTAATCAAATTACAAAATCAGCTGTATTTCCACATCATAGCAATAAGCAAAAATGGAATTTTTTTTCTTTTCTTTTTTTTTTTGGAGGTTTCAGTGGGACGGGAGAATCACAAGGAATCAGGTGTTCAGAGGACTGTATTGAGTAGAGGTGAGGAACTGGGATGCTGAAAAGTAAAAAAAGGAGAGAAGGAGAGGAAGAAAGAGGAAGAAAAAGAGGGAGAGAGAACAGGAACATTGCTTCATTCTAAAAATGGGTATTAATAATGGCCGATCAATATTTTGTGTATTTAAAATGGAGAACTCTATAAATATTTATTGAGTTTACTTGTTCCAGATCTGAGTTGAAGTCCTGGATATCCTTATTAATTTTCTGTCTCGTTGAGTCTAAATCTCGTTATGGGTCTTATGTATCTGGGTATTAAGATCTCTTATTGTTGCATTGATTCTTTTACCACTGTATCTTTGTTGCTTTGAACTCTATTTTATCAAATGTGAGAATTGCAACTCCTGCTTTTTGTTTATTTATTTATTTTTGCTCTCCATTTGGTTGGTAAATTTTTCTCCAACCCTTTGTTTTGAGTCTTTGTGTATCTTTGGATATACCGTTAGGTTTGGGCTTTATCTTTTGATTGGGGGATTTAGTCGATTTAAATTTAGGATTACTGCCATTTGATGTTAACTGACTATTTTATCCATTCGTTGATGTAAATTCTTCTTTATGTTGATGCTCTTTACTCTCTGGTATATTTTTAGAAAGGCTCATACTGGTTGTTCCTTTCTATGTATAATGCTTCTTTCAGAAGTTCTTGTAAAGCAGGCCTGGTGGTAATAAAATCTCTAAGTACTTGCTTGTTCATAACAGATTTTATTTTTCCTTCAATTGTGAAGCTTAGTTTGGCTGGATATGAAATTCTAGGCTGAAGGTTCTGTTCTTTGAGGATGTTGAATATTGGCCCCCACTCTCTTCTGGCTTGTAGGGTTTCCGCTGCGAGATCTGCTCTAAGTCTAATAGGCTTCCCTTTATGGGTAACCTGGCCTTTCTCTCTGGCTGCCCTTCGTATTTTCTCCTTCATTTCGATCCTGGTGAATCTAACGATTATGTGCCTTGGGGTTGCTCTTCTTGAGGAATATCTTTGTGGTGTTTTCTGTATTACCTGGGGTTGAATAGTGACCTGCTTTGCTAGATTGGGAAGATTTTCCTGGATAATATCCTGAAGGGTATTTTCCAGCTTGGATTCATTCTCTCCATCACATTCAGGTACACCAATCAAACGTAGATTGGGTCTTTTCACATAGTCCCATATTTCTTGGAGACTTTGCTCATTCCTTTTCATTCTTTTTTCTCTATTCTTGTCTTGTCGTTTTATTTCATTAAGTTGGTCTTAGACCTCTGATATCCTTTCTTCTGCTTGATCCATTCTGCTATTTAAACTTCAAAAAGTGATCCAAGATGGCTGATCACTAACAGCTCAGGATTGTAGCTCCCAGTGAAAGCTCAGAGAACGAGAGGACGCCACACTTTCAGACAAATTTTCATCGCTCACGGACCAGCAGATTTCTAGCAGAGGAGCCCAACAGGTCGCCAGCACGACTCTTGTGGCCAGCGCAGCGGTTTTGCCAGCGCGTTGGCGCAGCAGCTCTTCATGCAGAGTAAACGGGACTGGTTCCCTTACTGACCAGAGTTTGGAGCTCCGGGAAGGTAGAGCCGCTTGTTGCGGACTCAAGAAGGAAGCCAGACCAGAGATTCCCGGGCAGAAAAGTACCATCAGTCTTATCGCTGCTATTTTGGCCAGTGCAGTGGGTTGCTCGGATCCCAGCACTGGGAATCAATAAATTGGACGTCGACTCAGAAACCTAATTAGAAAGGCAGTAATTGTAAAGATTACAGATGGATAAATTTATAATAAAGGGAAAAAGCCAGCCTAAGAAGGCTGAGCATACCCAAAATCAGAACCCCTCTCCCTCTACAGGGGATTGCAGTTCCTCATCAGCAACGGAACAAGCCCTGATGGAAAAGGACTCATCAGCAACGGAACACGCCCTGATGGAAAAGGACTGTGTTCCATTATCTGAAGTAGGCTTCAGAAGGTGGATGATAAGAAACTTCTGGGAATTAAAAGAAGTTTTTCTAACCCAATGTAAAGAAACTAAGAACTTTGAAAAAAGGTTTGACGAAATGCTGAAAAGAATAGACAATATAGAGAGGAATATAAATGAACTAACGGAGTTGAAAAATACAACACAAGAACTTAGTGAAATATGCACAAGTTTAAAAATGGAATTTTGTAAAATACGCCATTGACAATAGCTTCAAAAATTATATAATTGATCGATATCAAAAATTATGCTATAATTACGATAAAATGTTTGAATATATTAAATATGCCTAACTATTAGAGATGTAGCTAACAAAAATACATATGTCACCTCTATGGAGGAAATTATAAATCTGCACTGAAGGACATTAAAGATGTAAATTAATCAAAAAAGAGGACATGTTGATGAGTTTGAGAACAATATTGTATAAATGTCAGTTTTTCCCAGCTATCTACAGTGTCAGGGAAACAGGCCCTACAATCCTCTGGGTGATTTTTGTGCAACTTGATAACTCCATTGTAAAATTCATACTGAAGTAGAAATGTTCAAGCATGGTCAAGGCAACCACGAAGAAAAATGAACAGCTCTGCAAGATATCAAGATGTATCAAAACATCATAGAAAATATGACCATATCAGGCTGGCACAGTGTTTCATGTCTGTAATCCCAGCACTTTAGGAGGCCAAGGCAGGCAGATCACTTAAGGTGAGGAGTTCAAGACCAACCTGACCAACATGGTGAAACCCTGTCTCTGCTAAAAAAAAAAAAGAAATTAGCTGGGCGTGGTGGCACGTGCCTATAATCCCAACAGCTTGTGAGGCTGAGGCACGAGAATTGCTTGAACCCAGGAGGTGGAGGTTGCAGTGAGCTAAGATTGTGTCACTGCATTTCATCTAGGGTGACAGAGCGAGACTGTCTCAAATTTTTTTAAATGTTGAAAAAATATGCCCATTTCAGTGGTTTACACCCGAATATCAGCACTTTGGGAGACCAAGGCAGGAGGATTACTTGAGCCTAGAAATTCAAGACCAGCCTGGGCAACAGGGTGAAACCCTATCTGTACAAAAAGCACAAGAATTAGCTGGGCATGGTGGCTACATCTCTAATCGTTAGGCATATTTAATATATTCAAACATTTTATCGTAATTATAGCATAATTTTTGATATCGATCAATTATATAATTTTTGAAGCTATTGTCAATGGCATATTTTACAATATTCCATTTTTAAACTTGTGCATATTTCACTAAGTTCTCGTGTTGTATTTTTCAACTCCGTTAGTTCATTTATATTCCTCTCTATATTGTCTATTCTTTTCAGCATTTCGTCAAACCTTTTTTCAAAGTTCTTAGTTTCTTTACATTGGGTTAGAACAAGTTCTTTTAAGTAGCTTGTAGTCTCAGCTACTTAGGAGACTGAGGTGGGAGATTCATTTGAACCCAGGAGGTGGAGGTTGCAACGAGCCAAGATTGCTCCTCTGCTATCCATCCAGGGTGACTGAGTGAGACCTTGTCTCAAAAAAAAAAAAATGACCATTATGCATTGACCAAGTAAAACAAAAAATCGAGGACCTAGAAATAGACGCCAACTGCAGGAAACATCATGTGTGATAGAGGAAGTGGCAAATGATAAATTTTTCTTTTTATTTATTTTTGGTTTTTATTTATTTAAATTTTTTGGTACAGTGTCTCTGTCACCCTGGATTGAGTACAATGGTTTGATCAGGGCTCACCACAGCCTCTATTTCTCTGGGCTCAGGTGATGATCCTCCCATCTCAGCCTCGCAAGTAGCTGAGACTACAGGGATGCACCATCATGCTTGGCTAACTTTTAAATGTTTTGTAGAAACAGGGTCTCATTATGTTGCCCAGGCTGGTCTCAAACCCCCGGGCTCAAGCAATCCTCTCACCTCAGCCTCCCAAAAATGCTGGGATTACAGGTGTAAGCCACTGTGTCTGGCCAACTTTTCAAAAATATATATGGTAAAACTTAATGCAATCAAGTTTGCAGTAAGTTTGCAATGAAATTTCACCACCAGCTCATGCATCAAAACCAAGTACAAGTAGCTTGAAGACCTAAATATGACAGAAAAAACAACAGAGCTGTTAGAAGATAATATAGCAGGAAACCACCATGAACTTGAGGTAGGAAGGGATTTCTGAGCAAAACATAAATAACATTATTTACAAAGAGAAAGATTGAAAACTTGGCCCCTGGTCCAGAACCTGAGCTCTACCTCTCAAAGGTCTTGCCTCCACAGAACCTGCACGTCCAAAGGTCTTGTCTCCCCAGGACGTTGACATCCTACCCCACTCCCTCCAGCCATGCGAAGGAGGCTGGTTCTCTCCATGTTTCTCTGGCTTCAAAAGGGGAAAGCTGAAGGGCACCTGCAGAGCACCTGAAGCCCAGAAGTAAAGGTGACCACCGAGACAAAGAGTGAGGCAGCGGTCATGGGTCCCTGAGAGGAGAAGGCAGCCCCTTTTTGAGAGAGAGTAATCGGTGGTTCCTCTCCATTTGGCTCCAAGTTCCCTTCCAAGCAGTGAATAACAGGGGATTTCATCCTAACTTCATGTGTGGTCCCATCCCGGTCTCCAAAGTTGCTCACTCTTGGAGAATTTGCACCCCTCACTCTCACAGTGACTCTTTAGGTAAAAGGTATATGTTATACCACATCCTCTAAGATACATCTCCCACTGACTCCATCTGGAGTCCCCCAGTACTCAGAGAAGAGTTACTGTCCTGGGGGCAACTGAGGAGGTGACATTGATCTCGGGAATTATATTTTTTACTCTCACCCTTTCCTTTATGATCGCTAGAGCATAGTTACCATGTGCCTGGCTACAGTGAGTTTTAACATTCCAGGATCCCAGGTGAGAACGTACAGAACATTAGGTCACTTGTTCCCTTGGGTGAGACACAGAGATACCTTTAGTGCCAGCCCCAAGCCCCGCCTGGTCCTTTCTGGCATTTGTCCCTCTCAACACTCGAGGTACCTCCGAAGCTGGAGGTTCCAGAGCTTGCCCAGGGACACCTTCATTCTCCCAACCCCCATCCTCTGTGCTATTAAAAGCTAAAAACAGATGGGGTGAGGGGAGAGGAAATTGCAAACAGAAGCCACAAGATATAGACAGAAGGTCAGAAAAGGAAATTTCCCCACAACCTCTAGCGGGAAAGCTGGGCCCCAAGGGCAAGGAAGATGCCAGGCTGGGCCACCTCAGGGACACAATGCCCATCCTAATAAAAGTAAAGTAACACAAAATAGAGAATTGGGGGAAAGAAGGGGAAAAAAAAGAATTTGGGGAAAGAAACAACCATTTTCACATTCAAGAAGGGCTATAGAGTTTGCCTCGAGAGAGGAGTGTGTATATAGTTTGTTTTATCACTACTTTGTTTTCGAATCAAACTAGTGATAATAGGCCGGGCTCACGCCTATAATCCCAGCACTTTGGGAGGCCGAGGCGGGTGGATCACAAGGTCAAGAGATCGAGACCATCCTGGTCAACAAGGTGAAACCCCATCTCTACTAAAAAAAAAAATTACAAAAATTAGCTGGGCATGGTGCTGCGCGCCTGTAGTCCCAGCTACTCGGGAGGCTGAGGCAGGAGAATTACTTGAATCCAGAAGGTGGAGGTTATGGTGAGCCGAGATCGTGCCATTGCACTCCAGCCTGGGTAACAACAGCGAAACTCCATCTCTAAAAAAAAAAAACAAACAAACAACTAGTGATAATATTTTTGACTGAGGTGAAATTCAAACGATATAAAATTACTAGCGGTAATTTTGGATGTATCAAGTTTTGCAGAATGAGGTGAAGAGAAAGCTAACGTGATGCTGGCTTAAAAAAGAAACATGAATACCAAGGCTCCCCCTTGTGGAGGATAGGGAAAGCATTTTTAAAAGTTATAGATTGAGTGGCAATGACATGAGGATTTGGGGGATGATCTCCTGGACTCCACATGGTTATGAGAGAGAAAATCCAGTGAAAGAGTTTCTATGGGGGCGGGGGGTGAATGGGGAATTTTTGCAACATGATGTCTAGCATCTGATTTAACCTACTTCTTATCTCCCAAACCTTGAATGAAGAGTGCTACCCAAAATATACTTGTACAAAGTGCTGGGGAAGGCAGGAAAGAAGTCTTTGTTCTCATGTTTGGGGAAGGGATACCAGCTTGCATATGTCGGTCACCCATCACCCTCAGAAACTTTCCCATATATTGTAGTAAGTTGGCAGCTTTGGGTTCTCTGTGATTATTAAGCATGGAAGATCCAGTTACTTTCTGGGGATATTAAAATCTGAACAGGATGCAATATTTGGGAACTACTGGTTTATGCCATAAAATGTCATATGAGCATACTTATATGAGATGCCTAGAGTAGTCAAATTCATAGATACAGAAAGTAGGATGAAGCTAAAAAATACTCTAAAATCATGTAACTCGTTGCAGAGTCTCCACAACATAACCTCAAGAACATTTGGGAATCCAATCCAAAGCTACTCAACAGGTTGAAAACACAGGCAAATAGGACCTACCTGAAGGTAACAACACACGGTAAAGGGGAAAAGTGAAAGGTAAATACGCAGGGGCCAGTGCTGAGATGACCAGGGTGATGGAAACAACAGACCAGGACTTTAAAGCAGCTACTATAACTATCGGCTCAGGAGATAAAGGAAAACATAGTCACAATGAATAAAGAAATAGGAAATCTGAGCCATGATATACAACATATTTATTTTAAAAGGGCAAATAAAAATTTTGAAACTGAAAACTGCAATACAGCATCTAAAATTTTAAAGTTAACAGGTTGAGCTTAATAGCAGGAAATGGATAACCGAAGAAAGATTCAGTTAATGCGAAGATAAATAATGAAAATTGTCCAACCTGAAAAAAAAAACAGAGAAAAAATATTTAAAATAATAGGGAAGAGAGACCGAGGGACCTGTGAGACAATATAAATAAGTCTAACTATTTGTAATTGGAGGCCTGAAGGAAAAGGAAACATAGAATGGAACAGACAAAAATATTTGAATAAAATGTCCAGAACATCCTAAATTTGGTAGAGACATGAAGGGAACCAAAGACTTAAAGCAATCCCTCATAAAAATAATATCCAGCTCCAACAAAATGGAAGAAGTACTCAATCTCATTAGCAAGTGGGTAAACTTAAGTTCAAACCATTAGCCAAATACTATTACACACTCTCCAAATTGGAAAACTTTTAGATATCTGAAGATGTCCAGTGCTGGTAAAGTGTGTAACACTGAAAGACTTAAATTGTTCCCAACAGCATCTAACAAACTGAAGATATTCGTGTGCAATGAGGAACGTGCAAGCTGCTCATCGGACCTGAGGTCTGATCAGCTTGGCAAACAGGCTGTCTGTGGGAGAGGGGGGAACTGGTTCTGGGTTAAGGGTCATTCAATGTGCAGCGTTCAATGCTTGGAAATCAGGACTTAAGAAAAAGAAAGGTCTCAATTCAATAATTAAGATTCTACATCATTGAAAATGAAAAACAAAACAAACCCTGAGCAAACAGAAGGAAAACATAATAAAGTTAAAGTAGAAATCAATCCCAGCACTTTGGGAGGCCGAGGCAGGTGGATCACGAGGTCAAGAGATCGAGACCCTCCTGGTCAACATGGTGAAACCCCGTCTCTACTAAGGATACAAAAAATTAGCTGGGCACGGTGGCACATGCCTGTAATCCCAGCTACTCAGGAGGCTGAGGCAGGAGAATTGCCTGAACCCAGGAGGCGGAGGTTGCGGTGAGCCAAGATCGCACCATTGCACTCCAGCCTGGGTAACAAGAGCGAAACTCCGTCTCAAAAAAAAAAAAAAAAAGTAGAAATCAATAAAATTAAAAACAGAAAATAACTTTTGAAGCAATGAATGGAAAAGAGCGGGAAGACCATGTGAAGACACAGGGAGGAAGCAGCTATCTTCAAGCCAGGGAGAGATCTCAGAAGAAACCATCCCTGCCAACACCTTGGTCTTGTTGGACTTTCAGCCTCAGAACTGTGAGAAACTGTGGCCTGCAGGGACGGCTCACACCTGGAATCCCAACCCTCTGGAAGGGCGAGGCTCAGTAATTGCTTGAACTCAGGAGGTGGAGGTTGCAGTGAGCCGAAACGGCAACACTGCACTCCAGCCTGGGTGAAAGACTGAGATATTTGTCTCAAAAACAAAACAAACACAAGCAAACAAAAAGAACTGTATGTAAGAAAGTAAATTTCTGTTATTTAATTAAAAAAATAAATGAATGCAATGCAAATATTGGTACTTTAAAAAAGCAGTGAGGGCTGGGAGTGGTGGCTCAAGCCTGTAATCCCAGCACTTTGGGAGGCTGAGGTGGGTGGATCACGAGGTCAAGAGATCGAGACCATCCTGGTCAACATGGTGAAATCCCGTCTCTACTAAAAATACAAAAATTAGCTGGGCATGGTGGTGCATGCCTGTAATCCAGCTACTCAGGAGGCTGAGGCAGGAGAATTGCCTGAAGCCAGAAGGCAGAGGTTGTGGTGAGCCGAGATCGCACCATTGCACTCCAGCCTGGGTTACAAGAGCGAAACTCCGTCTCAAAAAAAAATAAAAAAAGCAGTGAACTTGATAATAAGATTTACAAAGTTAAAAAAAGGTAAAAAATTACAAATCATTAATATCGTATCACTACATACCCCACAGGTATTGAAAAGATAATAAGGGACTAGTATAAGTGCCTCTATGCACATAAATTTAACACAACTTAGATGAAATGGACCAATTCCAGAAAAAATCACAAACTACCAAAATTTAAGTTGAAGTAAACCATATGACAAGTTTTATAGCTATTAAATAATTTGAATTCATAGCTTAAACCCTTCTGAAAAAATAAACCTCCATGCCCAGATGCTTTCACTCAGGAGAACTACCAAACATTTATAGAAGAAATAACACCAATTCTACATAATCTCTTCTGGAAAATCAAAGTGGAGGGAACACTTTCCAACTCATTTTATGAAACCAGCATCATCCTGATGCCAAAACTAGATAAAAATACTCCAAAACCCCCCACCTACCAACCAACTTCTCTTTAAACACAAACACCAAAATATTCTAAAAATTAATCAATAGAATGCAGCAATACCTAAAAAGAGGGATACACTGCCACCCAGTTGGGGTTTATCCTGGGTTTGCAAGTCTGATTTGAATCTATTAATGTCATTAACCATACTAAGAGTTGAAAGAAGAAAATTACAAGATCAGATCAACTCACATAGAAAAGCATTAGACAAGATTCCATATCCATTCATGATAAAGGAAACACTCTTATAAGACTAGGAATGGAGGGGAACTTCTTCAATTTGCAGATGGGCAGCTAAAGAGAATGTGCAGCTAATATCTTATTTAATGGTGGATGACTGAGTGTTCATTTCTCCCCTCGCCCCTGCAAAGATCTGTAACAAGACAAGAATGCCTACTTTCACTACTCTTACTCAACATCATATTGGATGTCCTAATCAGTGCAATAAGGCAAGGAAAATAAAGATTGCTAGAGAAGAAATAAAACCATCCCTATAGAGACAACCCAGAAAACTGCAAGAAATTTTCCTAGAACTAGTAACTGAGTTGAGCAAGGTGACAGGATACATGACCAACGTACAAAAAAAAATCAATCAATCATTTTTATATATTAGTAAAATATGATTAAAATTTAAATTTTAAAACAATATATACAATAGATCAAAATTAAATGAAATGCATGCATACCTACAAACAGATAATTATACCTATAGGTAGTTATAGATATATACAAATTTGTGTGGATAACTAGATAGACAGATAACCAAAGTATGTAGAGTACAAAGTATTAGAGAATGCATAAAGAAAGTACGTAGAGAATCTACGCACTAAAAAAAATACACTGAACAGAGATGACAGAAATCAAGAAGACCTGACTAAATGCAGAGACACATTCATGTATTGGAAGACTCAACATTTTATAGATAATACTTCTACCCAAATTGATTTATAGATTTAATGTCATTCCAACCAGTATCCCAGCATGTCTTTTTGTAAATATACACAAGTGGATTCTAAATTTTATTTACACAGGGAAAAGAATTAGAATAGTTAAAGCAATTTTGCAAAGAAAAAGAAAGTTGGAGGGATCATACTGTCCAATTCTAAGCTTACTGTAAAGCTACTGTAATCAAAACAATGTGGTATTTGCAAAGAACTAGACACATAGATCAATGAACAGACCACAGAGTTCAGCAATAGACCTTCATCGATATTGCCAATTGATGTTAGATGAAGGTGCAAAAGCAATTCAATGGAGAAAAAAATAATCTTTTTAACAAATGATATACAAATAATTGGACATTCCTATGCCTAAATAAACCTCAACCTAAACCTCATAGATCATATAAAAATTAACTCAAAATGGATCATAGATCTAAATGTAAAACATAAAAAGGTAAAACTTTAGAAGAAAATCTTTGTGACCAGGAGTTGGACAAAGTGTTATTAGACGTAACAGTAAAAACACAATCTACAAAAGGAAATATAAATTAGACTTCACAAACATTTTAAAAACCCTCCATGAAATGCACTGTAAAATAATGAAAAGACAAGCTACAGACCGAGAGGAAATATATGTAAATCATATCGATATGGAACTTGCATCCAGAACATATAAATACTTTCAGAACACAAT